ACTGAAACAAAATGTAATAAGAGAGACAATTGTTTAGATTATAATGGGTATTTAAAGGTTAGTACAGAGCTGCAGCTCCGCATCACCTGAGAAAACTGACATACAACCAACTATGATTAATCATCGTTTACTATTTAACTCACAGTGTAATTTAAATATTCAGGTACATTTACAACTTTCAATGTATTCTGGGGAATTCATTATCTGAATGCTTTTGGAATTAATGTTTGCTGTATTTACTAAAAGAAGACCCGCCTCCTGATGCCATTGGCTCGTTCACACCCAAAACCTGCTTCTGATTGGACAGCAAATGTGTCACGCAGTGGACGCGGCCTCTATACCGTGCGTCAAGAATCGAAACCAAAAATGCTTCAGAAGCGACAACAAAGGAGAGCTTGGCGTTCATAACATAGCGCGAACCATAAATCACTGCCCCTTATATTCGAATGAGGTAAGATTTCATTCAAATCCTTTTTCTGAATAGCGAATTGCCTGTTTGTTGCTGTATAGGTATGTGCTTCTCAATGTGACGCGCATATTATATTTTCCGCAGGCTTCTGTTGACATAACTGGGTGCCTCCTGTCAGCGATAATAACAAACATTAGTTATTTGAGTTATTAAAGGTCATGTACGGATAGCACAGAAGACTTCAAAAGTAGCCAATGCCACTGTGTTCTGTTTTTTGCCTTTTGCAAGCATGGACTGACTGTCTTATGCTTTTGCTGTTTCATCTAGGAAGAGCAGAATTGCTCCCGTAGTCCTTTTGGTTTCATAAATGAAATGGCGGGTGGTACAAGGTAAGAATTATTAATCTTCTAATAAACAGTGTTATGTTTAAATTCAGACACGTTCCTTAAAGGTAGCATTGATTGTTTCTTAGAGATTGGCATTTGACAAAACCAGCCAAACTGGTCCAACAATAAAAAAAATAAAAACCTGCTAACGTAATGGCAACAAAATGCAGTGGTTTAAACATATTATGTTGGGTAAGTATGGTATTTTATCGGTTTCTTAACATGTGAGTCATGTGCACGTTTCTTATGAGCGTGGGCCCGCTGTTGTTACGCAATGAGGTCGCCAGTGGAGTATCCTGGCATGTTTTTGTGGGCTGGGTATTTTTTTAAAGGGGTCATATGATGCTTTTTTAAAGATCATTAT